AGGCTAGGTAATGGAAGCATTTAAACGTACCAGAGAAAATCCGATAGGTTCTCAAATTTTAGGCAATTTCTTAACAATAATAGAATTTTTCAGGCCATTAAGAGTAGGGATGAACCTTATCTGATGTGTTTGCACAGAAACAAAGAGCATAGTGTAAGCAACATTCTGACATGGTCCGTAATTAAAGAGCTTGAAATCTTTTTTCTCTAAGTTACCAAAGTTGCAGATAGTAGTATGAATTTTATATTGCACAATTACTTAAAAAAAAGGACCCACAACAAAAACAAAAAATCTTTTCTTTAGAATTGGTCACTGTGAATTTTTATGGGAATAATATTGAGGAAGTGATTAATCACACATCATTTATTGCCTGTAGGGCAGGGAAATACATATCTTATTAAACAGGCAGGGTTAGATTTATTTGCAAGGACACAGTCAAACAAGAGCCACCAAACCAAGTCTGTGTTATTTCTAGATGTAGATAGAGTTATTTTGCAGTAATGTTTGGGGTTTTTTTATGTAGATATTTTAAAAGAAAATACATAACAGTATCACAAAGCTTTAAGTAGCATCAAATCACATGCTTAGATTGCAGTATCTTTCCTAGATTAAATGGGGGAAACCGGAGCATCCATTGCAGTAATCAGAAAATTGATGGAACATTTAACTTGCTACTCAGTACACTGTCCTTCAGTATTCTGTGCTTAAACCTATGTGTATATAATTAATACTTGAGAATCTGGCAGGTGCTTTGAGAGCGTCATCTCCTTTTATTGATATTGCATCTCTGATCTGGCGTGTTTTGAGCTACCGTGGTCCAGGCTGTCATGGTGGTAGTGCACTCTCTGGTGCCTGGACTCATCTCCTGAGGCAGTGAGCACAAGCCAAATGCATCTGAATCTGGTGGCAGGAACATTGGGCCGTCACTATCAGAAGATCAGAAAGTACTATTTTACAGAATTAGTTGTCCTGATGGTTTTGAACCTTTGGAGTGATTTATTAGGAAATTTCCAGTGAAATGAAATCACAGAAAAATAACCAAAATATTTCTTTCATTTACTGTTGCTGACTAAATGCTAAATTGAGTATTCACCCCATATATTTTTGATGTGCATAAATATTGCATTTGACTATTTACAGTGGTGTACATTGTGGGACAGATATATTTTCAGAAGATTAAATTCACTGGTAACATACATTCTTACTTATGCCAAGATTCTGTCTTTGACATATCTTGCGTAAAGAGTTCCAAAATGGTCTTGCTACTCAAATATTGCAACCACTACTGTGCATCATGCAGAATTTGCAGTAGTGTGGTTCTTGTAACTTTGTGTTTTTATCCAGACAAACTGGTCTTAACATTAAAATTTATTAAGAAAAAGCCTTTGTGCTGTTTCTTATTACTGTTATTTTACAAGTTGTGACAAAAAACTGAATTGGGCCCGTCATGTAATGTGAACTGTAGCTGTTTTAATGTAGCTTACATTACCTGTGTTTGCTCTTTGTTATGGAGAACTGGTTTCAAATCAAACTCCTGTGGTTTTGCACTGCTTTACAGATTCCAGCTGAAGTGAAGTTTGTTTCTGAAACTGTCCATTGCGAACTTGCAAAAAATTCTCATCTCCTTATCTCCTTATTTTCTCATGTGTTTTGGGAAAGAAGATGGAGGCTGTATAGAATAAGAATTAAAGAACATTACTTTTATTGTTTTAAATTTAAATAGTTTGCCTTATTGTGCCATGTGTACTCCTCTGGGATAGAACTTGATAGTAAGCATGTAAGTTAACTGGCAGTTACCAAGACAGCTGAGGAGCTCTGTACCAGTGGCTTCCATCTCTGCTAGAGTAATCCAGCATACCATGGTCTTATGGTATTCTTCAAGTGGGAAAAATTATGTGTGTGTGTGTTGTCACCACAATTTCTGTCGACCTTGGGTCTTGAATGGAAGGACTGGAGATGCATAATGGCTTAATTGTATCCCCTTTGTAGTGTGGAGTATCTAATGCTGTTAGTAATTCTGCAGGGCTTTATCCAAGAACTATCAGATGCCTCTAGCTATCTTTTGCATAGTGAAAGAAGTTAATTGCAGCATGGCTTTGACTGTTTTTACACAGATTATTTTATATTGATTAAAAATAGTTGCAACTCTATATCCTTTCTCTGCCTCGCCACTGGTAAAGTCTGAGCTACTTGGTTTCGTTTCCAAGGGCCTTCTGAGACCTGTGACTTTTTTCTGTCACTAACTTCCTCAGTAGGATGCCAGCTCCAACACCAATTACAGTACTCGCATCACTTTTCAGCTGAGTGCATTAATTCTTTCCTTGTTTTCCCCTAAGCTTGAGCAAAAATTCCTTAAAATCTGTGCAGCAGCCCCACTATTTTTCCAAGAACTCCATAAGAAGTCCTTTACCATACAAAGCCTGGATAACTGGTTTGTTGATGCCTGGTCAGTGTCGGTTTGTTTCCTCCTACTCCACTCTCTGTCCTTTCACTTATATCTAGATGGGAAATTCTTTGCAGCAGGGTGAGCGTTCCTTATGCTGCCTGCCATGTGAGTGGGCACCGTGCAGCCTGAGCAATGACTGGGGTTCACCAGAAAGGATGATACAGATAATATAAACATTAAACAGGGAACTGAATCTTGGTAGTATAATGAAGTTCAGGATGCAAAAAAAAGGGAACCGTCTTCTGAAACGGATAAGGGAACAACTAGAACAACTTTTACAAAGCATAATGGTAAGTTAGAGCTCTCTTATTCTGATATTTCAGTTCTTAATTAGATTAACTGGAACTAAAGAATTGCATGGTTAACAGCAATTTTGTCAAGTCTCTGATTATTCCAGACAAGCTATGCTTCTGGTTTTAATTTCTTTGTTTAGAAGTCACCATAAACTGAGAAACTGAAATCAATGCTGAAATCAAAGTTACTCAATAAATGGAAATTTTTAGAAGATGGCATTTATAAAGGTCAAATTCTGTTCCAAAATAAACTGAATGTTCTGCATTCGATATAATACTGAGGGATGGAGCAATGACAAGATGATTTCACAATTCTGCACATCAGCTTTGCTACTTATATGCTTACTTGCTGTTACCACTTGCTTGCTGAGCAGTGCCTAGTGCCAAAGCTGCATAGGTGCTTTTTTTCCCCACCCTGTATAAGCAGAAATCAAACATCTGGAGTTGTCTGACATCAGGTGGGGGGGAGGACAAAGAGGGACACACACAGGACAGACGTGACACACGCTTAACCTTACTTGTCTGAATTATGTTAAACCACTTGACTTCCAAGTGATCTAACTTGTTTCCTGATCCTGGAAAAGGAGAGTAGTTTTACCTAGAGAAAACAGACTGCCTTGTTGCTTATAAAAATAGAAAGCACTGCAAAGCTCATTATTTATTCATATTGAATAGAATTTATGTATTAGAACCCAGACAGTGAAGATCTGCATTGGTGGGCCTTGTTTTGCAGGTGCAAATTGTGCAAATGGCCTATTTAGTTTGGTAAGGAAAGTGCTGAATTGAAAAATACTGCATTAGGCTGGAGTATTCGTGGGATATTTTGGCTGGCCCTGACCAGGAGCCAGGGGAGCAGGAAGCAGCAGAAGAATTTCTAAGCTAAATCAGGCAATGCTGCTATAAACCAACAATTGTATATACTTTTAAATGCTCCTTGTATAACAGAGTAGTCAGTAAAATGCATGGGGGAAAGTACTCAATGTCTAGGAAGAATGTGAGTTACTTTTTTCACTGAAGCTACACTTGTATGGAGTTTGAACAGCTTTTTCTTCACTTTTTTTTTTTTTTTTTTTTTTTTTTCTCCCTTTTTTCTCCCATCGCTTTTGGAAGAGGACAGGTTTTTGTCATCTGGGGGGAAAAAGC